CTAAAGTAAGGTACCAGTTAGACTGTGATATTTTGTGTGTGGGACGAAAGTCTCCATCGGGGGAATATGCAATTACGAATTGAAAAAATTCTACCTCTCTCCAGTTCTTACCCCTTATTCATCCCTTCTCAGTGTTCAGTGTTAATTAGCATCTAAGTAAATATGCAGGACAAGAAGGAAGATTATGCCCTGGGAAGGAGGACAACTACCTGTTCATTTTGTGTAGTGTTTTAGAAGCTATTCTAAATAATAGTTGTTTGTTTCTTACAGTTCACTTTGTCTACAACTAGTATTTTCTTCCAAATGAAAAAAACAGCCCTTTAAAAGTTGTTTGAATTTGTGAAAGGAGTGATATGATGGCATTGCCTTTTATAGAAGGGAACTGGACTTCAACCTGGGGATCTGTTCCTGTTACACATCCTTGAGGAATGACTGAAAGAACACCTGGATGGCTAGATGAAATACAAAATGCATCTTGCTTCAGACTAACTAAACAGTGGTGTTCTGGCTGCAGAGTGGCTTGTTTTCAAGTGGAACTTGCAGTATTTGGACAATCCTGGATTTGAAGTTGATAGCTGTTTGCAGAGGTATCACCTGTGTGGGTTGGCCAGCTGGTGGTATTGACCACACACAGGGTCTGACAAAACCTGTGTGTACAGCTTCTGGTCTCTGCTAGTAACATACCTGCTTCTTGCTGAGCATAAAGCTATGAAATCTCTCTATGCAAATTATATCCAGTGAAGAGTTAGAAGTGTCCTTGACTGGAGCTAGAGGGAACTGCACGGGTCTCACAAAAGCTGGTGTGGTTATGGTATTTACAGTTATGTTATGCTGGCAAAGAACGTTACGGCACTGCACCTGGAACAACCTTGTCTTGGTTTGTACAGATGTATGCTGATACTTGAACTGGGGCTTCAGAGAGATGTCAGAATACCTGTGTATTTCTTGTTGATTGGTGGAGGAAATCTAGGTGTCACTAGTATTTCCTTAAGGTAATCTTTAACTTTTTTAAAATAAAACTTTTAAAATAAAAATAAACTCAAAGGGAGCAGTTGCTCTATGGAAAATGGATTTTGATGTCATTGTTCACTGTAAGACTTCTAGTCTTAATTGTAACACAGAAATTAATGGTACAGACTTTGAAACTAGCAGAACTCTGTGTATAATGAAGCATGATCCTCTGGCTAGTTGCTGTCCTGAAATAATGCTCTAAACTCTGGAGGAGTGTTACCTCTGAAAAGGGAGCAAAAACTTGTTTGAAGTTGGCAGAATTTCCCAGAAGAAAGATGGCAGGTAGACCAAGCTTCCAGACTAAACTCCTACTTTATGTTAGCAGTTAAGTTTGTATTTGGTAAACTCTGATGTCAGCAGTGGCTGAAGATAAGCTGTATATACTTACATGCAACATTTTCAGTCCTGCAGTTCTTGCTTCCCCACTTTCCCAAGAGGAAAACCCCAAGCCCCTCATACTGGGATTATTAAGAGTCTCATGTCTGGAACTAGGGGGCTGTGAATTGGAGGTAGAACTTCAAAGTGCCTACAGATGTCTGGTGCCATCAACATGCTAACCCTGTGCATTGGCATAGAGCTAATATTTTTACATTTACTCTGAATCCTGTTATGTGCTATTCTTGTCTAGACTTCCTTCTTTCATCTGTAGTGAATGCTGAGACTGTAAGTTTTCCAAGGCTGAGTTATCACTATGGATTCTGTGTTTAGTTTGTTGCATTTATTTTTTCCCCTTCACCACAGAGTCCTTCTGGAATACCAGTTTTATTCCAAGATCTGAGTGCAGCTTGGATTCCTGGTTATCCTTGCTAGAATTTGAATGTTTAAAAGTTTATTTGGTTTGTTTTGTTGCTTTTATTGAAGAAGTCATCTGTTCTCCAGAAAATGTTCTTGACCTTTAGTAATAATTTTGAGTATTTCAGAATCTTTTCTGTAATGTGACCCTTGGAATATATGTGATAATTTCAGAAACTGATTAAACTTAATATCTGCTTCTGCAAGCTTTCAGTACCTGTGTTTATCAGACAAAGTAATTTCTCCAGAAGCTCTCTGGGACTTGAGAGAAGGTCTAGACTCATCATATGAGCTCTCTATTAGTATTGCTATTAATAATCTGTTTCTTTAGGCTGTGGAAAGCATGTGCTGGGTCTGGCTGTACACAGTGGGGTGTATGGTATCTCTCACCTCCCTTAGGAGCCTAATGTCACTGTAAGAATGAGGGTGAAGTGTTAGCAAGAAGACATGGCTCTAAGTTAGTCCTCCCTTCCCACCCATTTCTTAACAAACTTTGTTGCCAAGCACACAATTTGGTTTTCTAACTCTCATTTTGCAGTGGGAACTGATGCACATGTTGCAAAGCAGTATCAGGTTTTTTTTATATTGAAATAATGGTTAGATATTTAATTATTGTTTATTTTTAAACTAAAAGAGTATAATGAAAATTGACATACCTGAGCAAGCAAAAACAGTCTGTCAAATAGAGATGTATATTTAGCAGTAAGGATTCCTAGTTAAGAGGTTTATTTGAAATTCCATTTGTGCTGTAACCTGCACACAGTTCCCAGTTTGCCCATTCCTCAGAAGTTTTCCTTGCTTTCCAGTAATGCTGCTTACAAGTTTGGATAGTAAGAGGTGTTCTGCTCACTTGTTGCCTACACCAGTACTGTATAGTCAGGTGCTCAGAAACATGAAATGTCTTTGAGTGTTTCTGAGTACGTAGCATTCCTTAGCCAACTGGTATTGTGAAGGAGAAGGTCACCTCGGTTTCTGCAGAACATATTTTGTAGCCTTGAGTGGTTTCCTACTGAAGAGTTGATGATGCTGATTTTTTTATAAAGACACCATACTTGAACACACCATAGATCTTCAACGTAGATGTGTATTGGTGCTCTTGGTGTCATTGCCCTTTCTTCCTCTGTTGTGACTGTACCACCCACGTGTTTTCTATGGAAAATAGTTCAGTTTATTGTATCCTCCTGAAGTCCTTGTGCATATAAATTAGCCTTTTCAGGCTTTTCTTTTTAACTTCCACTTACATGCCTTGTAATGCTCCAGTTCAACCTTGTCTCTCTCAAACTGAATTGAGCCATGAACAGAGTCCTCTGAGCTTTACTTAGTATTGTGTTAAAACAAGTGGATTGGATCAGAAGATGCTCCACTTGAACGTTACTGCTGTTGGGATGTGCTGGAGAAGAGGAAAAAACATCATGCATGAAGATGTATTCAGGACATGTGAAGAACTGCATGTTTCCACAGTGTGTTCTTACCCAGACCAGTGGTGAGAGGTGGTCTGTCCTCTGAGCAGTGGGCTGCCAGAGTCTCAGGAGGATAAAGGTGATGTGGGATGGCTGCCTGAGATTTCTCTCTGCTATGGCAAAGGAGTTTCCTCTAAAGATTTCTTGATTCAAATGACTGTTCTCAGAAGTTGTGCAGCACTTGGTGTGGAGCTCTGTCTTGCTAGCATGTCCAAGAATTACTGTCCAAATCTGTCTGTTGTTTACTATCTTTGATTAAACTTGGTTTAATGGAATAATTACATGTATATATGGGACTCAATGTAGATGTTTTTTGTTCTGCTTGGTATAGAAGGACTCAAAGTGTTTCCATATCATGAGCCAAGTGTGAAGGAAAGGCAAGGTGCAGAGCAGAGACTGGCACCCAATAAACCCTTCTTAGCTGTCTGGTGGGGCTGTTCCCCTTCCAAGGTCTAGATAAGAGCATTTGGCTTTAAACCTCTGTGGTAGGAAGTGGTGGCTGCTGGCTGAGTACTGTGAATGAGGTTTGTTGTCAGTCACCTTTCTCATGACTACAGTTCAGTTACAGATTAATTGTGGTTAAGGAAATAATATTTAGCTTTTTAAAAAGTCACAGGCTTCTAAGCTTTCCTGTATGTTTGTTTCTTTGCAGTACTGGTTTCATTTGTCATGTGGATGATGTATGACTGAATGAAAATCTTTCTAGGCTAAAGCAATGTTCTTTATTAAAAAAATACCATATTTTTCTAATGGCTGGCTATCTGCCTTGCAGGAGCAGGAAAGGAAATAGTGAATTTTCCACTTGCTTAACTGATCGCACTGTATCTAGTTTAACTTAAAACCTTGGTAGAAAGCCTGAGTTTTGCATCCTTTGTGTTAACTGGCAGTATCTGTTTGATATAGACTTGTAATTCTGGTTAACTAACCTATTAGTTGGTAAGTCAGCTATTACTCCTTGCAGCTTTACACTGTAAAAGCCACTTTCCTATGACATCTAGGAAAGCGTAGGGAAACTGAAATATTGGAAGTACATATCCCAATCTAATTTTGACTGTCACTTAAAAAGAAACTGCTAAGCCTTGCTGTTAGTGCTACTGTGCTGACAAAGCCACAGAGATGTTAACCAACTTCCTGAACATCTGATTTGTGGCTTTTACCACTTTTCTACCACGGACATGGAGCAGTCCAGACCCAGTTAAGGCTACTGCAGCCTTCTTTGAAGTAATTCTTTGCTGTTTGATGCAAGCTACGCTGTTTCCTTTGTTCCTGTTGCAAGTCTCAAAAGGTAATAGTTCCAAATTGCTGTTTTATTAAACCTCTTCAGATTTCTCTTTTGGAGTCAGGTTTTATTTTCAGCTCGTTTGTCACCCATTGGTTATTGTGTGCTGGTCCACTCAGTGTCTCTGTTCATAGTAAGAAACTGCTGGAGCTTTTCAACAGTTTCAAGTCTTTCTACATAAAATGGAATGATTATCAATACTATGCAGAGCATATTTCTACTGAGAGGCCTTTCTGACAGGGGTTCAGAGCAAATGATATGAGAGTGTTGCTGAATATCTCTGGCACTGATTCAGTAACTGGGGAAGTGCACCCAAACTTCAATAGTGAATGAAAGGATAGTTGGGGGGGAGAAGGGGAAGGGTTTTTTGTTTGCTTGTATGACTAAATTGGATGAATTGGGTTGAGTTTGATGAACTAGAAGTAGTTCTGATGTGTTCTGTTTTTTGTTTTAGTGCCACAATGGCAACTGCACCTTACAACTATTCCTACATCTTTAAGTACATCATTATCGGTAAGTATCACTGGGCACAGAACTGTCTGTCATTGTGTAGATGTGTGACAGCCTGCCCACAGACCCTGTGGCTCTGCAGTGAGTCTTGCAGTAGTTAGTTGTCCAGCCCCAGTCCCTCTCAGATCACCACACTTGCTCCAAAGCTTTAGCAGCTGACCATATAAAGGCGGATGCCTTTGTGTGCCACAGAATGTGAGTGGTGTGACTGGGGAGTGGGGCAAGTACCAGGGGCTGTATTGAGAAGCACTGTGACTGCCTTCTGCACTGTTAGTCTCAAAACTTGTAGAATCTGTGTTGAAGACAATAGTACTAATGGGAATCCATTGCTTCAGACAGGCTCACAGACTTTTGTCAGGCTATATTTATGTGTTTAAATGTTGTATTTAGCGGTACCTCCCTTGGCTATATAGAGTCAGGGACTTGATTGCATATATTACTGTCCTGGAAAAATGGGTCTTGCTGTTAATTGTTAAATTCTTAATGATCTTGTGTGGATGTTAAGTGATCTGTGATCTTATTGTAATTGTTTGTAAGTCTGCTGTGACAGCCTCAGCCTGTGCGAAAGTTGGTTCTTAAAAGTTTGATGTTGCTTTCTCACTACTGGTATTATGTAATCGGTGGAAGTGAAGCAATTTCTTGGTGAGGTCTGGTTGGTAGTCAGTGTTTTTTATGTCCTTACCAGTCACTGCAAGTAAGACAGGAGCAGGGCAAACGTTCAAAACTTGTATTTTACATTTCTCTTTTTTTACAGGTCTAATTATCATAGCCTTTTGAAATACAGTTGTAAAATCAGTAATACACATTAACTTCTTATTTGAGCTTCCCCTTTGCTTGTATTTGTTACTAAAACTATAGTCCAGAAGTTAAAAAATGTTAAGAACTGTAGCCAGGTATAGAACATTGCCCACTAGACCTGAGAAAGGAATGGCTGCCTGTCTGGGTACTGGTTGTGTGGGATGAAGAAAATGTGATTGTTGCAACAATGATGTGGTGTCAGCCTAAACTATTCTTTCTGTAACAGGGGACATGGGTGTAGGAAAGTCCTGTTTGCTTCATCAATTTACAGAAAAGAAGTGTGAGTATTTCAATTTATAATGTTTATTCAACTGCTGTGCTTCATCCCTCTTTTCTGCCTTTTTGCATCCTTCATGCATGAGCTTGATATGTCTGTCTTAATCTGTATGTGCTGGTATCCTGCCTGGTCGGATTTTTGCTTTGACTCCTGCACATGTAAAAACAAAATACTGCTGTAGTAATGGCAAAACTGTAGCTTCAGTCAGTCCTGCCTGTGATGAGCGGGAAGACTCTTTGTATAGCTCTTCCAGGGAATTTTTATATGGAACAAATTAAGTTTCTTGTCTGAAATTTGCATGTTTTCCATATTGGTGTAGCTTAAACACAGCAGTTTTTTAGTGCTTTTAAGGACTTCAGAAAGAAAAAAGGAGTCATTTTTCCTTGACTCTGCAGGCTTTAGTAGCTCTGTCGTTCTCTGTAGCTGTGGTGACTCAACACTTGGACTGTCCTGTGCCACGGTGTTTAAGGCTGCAGCCTGGCTCAACTGCAATGTGTTTTCATGTATGCTATCATGACTAATTAAGAATTAGATCCAATTCTTCTTAATAATGTTCATTGCATTGAAGTTGAAAGTTAGTCTTTCCTGTGTGATACTTGGGCTGTGGCAATAAGTGGGAAGGAGTCACAGTTTAAAAAATTGTTTCTTTTCTAGTAGAAAGAGGATTTTTTTTAACTGCTGCCTTTTAATTAAAGTCCTGTATCAGCCAGTTGTTTAAATACTACTTTGCATTCAGTCACATTCTTTGTGAGGCTGTGTCCATAATCTGTCAGTGTTAAACCAAAGCAATACAAGTAGACAAACATGCCAAACACCTTTACCACAAGACTGTCACTAATTGTAGATACCCTGAATAGGTACTCATCCTTTGTTTTCTTGCACTTTCTTAAAAATTAGTTTACTGTAACTACAAGGAAGCTTTTTTGATTTTGCTGTGTTGATACTTAAGAAACTGGCTTTATCCTGTGGACAGTCATGCTATTAACCCTTTCTGAAACAACTTGGGTGTATATTTTTGAAGCTGTGTTACAGACTTTTAACTGTTTCTTGGTAATTCCCTAAAAATTCTTTTCCTACTGCATTAAAATAGTTAACCGTTTCTGCAAGGATAGACTGAGAACCAACTGACTTGATACCTTCTGATATATATGGCCAAACAGCATCAGTGTACATGCAGCAGAGAAGGCAAGGAATTTTATAACTGTTCTTAAAACTAACAGCAGTTAAGGAAATACTTTATTTAATTTCTGGTGAAGTGATACAGTTTGGGTACTGTAGCTGTAAGAATTATTTCTTAGAGCCTGGAAATCTAGTAAAGGTAACTGTAAAACTGGTATCTTTGTAGCAAGGAGACCTTGTACTAGAAAGGTCTGATCTTTGCTCTTGTTTTTCATGACAGTTATGGCGGACTGTCCCCACACAATTGGTGTTGAATTTGGCACAAGAATAATTGAAGTTAGTGGCCAAAAAATTAAACTACAGATTTGGGATACAGCAGGACAAGAGAGATTCAGGGCTGTCACACGAAGCTACTACAGAGGAGCAGCAGGAGCTCTCATGGTCTATGACATTACCAGGTAAGGTGCACCTTGTACACCAGCTCTGTGTGCCTGACAAGCTGGTGGGATGCCACAGCCTTCCACCTACTGCTTTGGGTGTCCTCTTGACTTAAGATTTAAAGGACTCTATTGATGGATGTTTGTGTGAAACTTACTACACTTGTTTATCTAAATGCTTATGAAACAGCTGAAGATTATACATAGGGAATTATGTGAGCTGCTTTCCTTGGAAACTTCACTGCTGACATACCTGAGGGATCTTACAGTTTCAGGTCTTGACTGCCTACGTTGAAGTTTAAGGAACTGGCTTTGCCTCTAAAATCTGCTCATGGACCTGTACGTGGATTAAAAAAATCTGTACATGGATTTTTCTCTTCCTGGGAGACAGTGGGTGCTGCTGCTTACTTTGCAGAAATATTCTTAGAGTAGGCATAGGCAGAATATTGCCTCTGTTGCAGTGGGCTGTGCAAACGTGCTTACAAGACTATACAGGTGGGAGCACTGGGGAACTGTGACTTCTGGGCCTCTTCACAACTAGTCCTCCCCTGAAAGGAGGCTTCATAGAACCTGTCCTCCTTCCTTTCATAGGTGATCATTAAAGATGCTGCTAAAATAATAATCAGATATGCAACATGAAATACTGCTTTCACATCTCCCATATTCCCCTGGGGCTGTTCTTGATATTCTTGCCTCTTTTTTTTTTTTTCTGTGTATATTTCCTGTTTACTTAAATCTTAAGTAAAACAAACTTAGGCACTGATTGTTTTTGAAGTGCTATTCTGCTGTACAGTGTTCTGCAAGAGTGTTTGACAGGAAATCCTTCAATGTGTTTTAAACAAGACAATATAAATGTCCTTGTGAAGGCAGTAAAGCTACCATGTCCTAGAAGTGTGAATTGGTCTGTCTTTTCCACCTGTAGGGTAAGGGTTGCTCTGTGGGTTTAAAGTTGACATGCTGAAAACTTGGTCTGAGTCCACACAAGCTGCTACTACTTTGCTGTGAGGTTGGGGAGAACAGGGCTGAGAGCTGTGGATATTTAATGGCTGCTGACTCTGGTTTTGGCACTTCGTATTTTTAAAAATACTGTAGCTAAAACTGTTCTTGCTTGATTCTTTGCAGAAGAAGTACATATAATCACTTAAGCAGCTGGCTGACAGATGCAAGGAACCTCACCAATCCAAATACTGTAAGTTGGTCTTCATTTAGCTTGAAAGCAAGATTGCTTGACTGAGCAAGAGGTGGAAGGCTTAGGCCAAAGCATCTGCAGTGGCAGCAGTGCTTTCTTGAATTAAGCTGCCTGTGTCTTCTCACCTCCTTAGCTCTGCGTTAGGAAAGCAGCTGTTTCTTCAAAGAAGTTGCTGTGCTATGTACTTTTCAGGGGTTTGTTTTCAGCAGCTGGAGGCAAAATAGTGATTTATTCTGGACAAACCTTAACTTTTGTTACTACTTCTTGCTTTGGGGTAGTAATGAGGTAAATGTTGTCTCGTCTTAGATTGAAATCTAACTTGGATCTTCAGCAGGGGCTGACTAGATCTTCTGGAGGGATGGGGAAAGGAGGTTCTTCTGTGTTTTTTTGCCCATACAACAAAACTGTTGTCCTTCAGTCTTTTTCTCAATGCCCCTGAAATACTTGAGCACCAAGATCATGGGAAGACTCTGCTGTGATGAAAGAAAACTTTTAAAGATTCTGGCTGGGTTAGCAAATAACTAAACAAATACAAGAAGTGGTTCAGAATACAACTTTTGAATGAAGAGTAGGACTACTGCTTTCTAGGACCTCATGTCAAGAGAACAGCCTAAAGCATTTGAACAGCACAGGCGGAGACTCTTCTTGACTTCACAGAGGGGGCACTGCTAGAGCAATGTTCTCCTGAAGATGCATGGCTTTTGCAGCTAAACTTTTCTCCATACTTCCTTCTGGGTTTTTTGTCTCTATTAATAATGTGGGTGGTAGTGGAAAAGCTAATGCGCTTTTTCCTAGACTAATTTTTTCTCTTCTGAACTAGGTGATAATCCTCATAGGAAATAAAGCAGATCTGGAAGCACAGAGGGATGTTACATATGAAGAAGCCAAACAATTTGCTGAAGAAAATGGTGTGTGTTTTCTCTTGCTGTTTCATTTCCTACAAAACAGTGATGTTAAAGTGAATACTCAGCATTGATAGCTGTAAACTTATACTTCCAAAATAATGTAATTATCTATGCAAACTTCTGCTGTGCCTCAGTTAGTCTGGCTTAACTGTGCTTAGTTCTAGAAGTCGGCTTGTGTGTAGATGCCTTGACTTATTCCTGAAATACTCTCTAATACTGAAATGATACTGCATATCATCTGAAGGTCATAATGTGGGTGACTTGGAGCCACTTGAAGTATATGATACATTGACTGTTAAACCTCTGTTTCTGAACAGGTTTATTGTTCCTTGAAGCAAGTGCAAAAACGTAAGTTACTTTTGTCTGTTGATTCAGATGTGATCTGTTTCAGAGCAATCTAGTAGTTATGCCTAAGTACAGCCATAGGGTTCAGGTGTAGTAGAGTTTACAAATGAAAAAAACCAATGGAAAACCAAACATTTTTGAGCCCTCTCTGAGGGTGGCGTATGTAGAGCAGTTTCAGTAGTGTCAGCTTTGACTTGAAGGTAACTTGGAAATGAGGCTTCTTGCTACATTTCAGGCAAAGCCTTCTTGAATTCAGATGAACTGATAGGGTGTTAAGGCATAATTAGAATGTAGCAGGTGTTTGTGTGGGCAGGAGTGGCTCCCAGTGGGGCATTCCTTTCCTTGGCTGCTTTGACCTGTAAGCAGGTTCTGTAGCCAACAGTCCCTTCAGTCTTTGAGGGGAATTGTCCACCCTACCTGTGGTGGGCTGGGAGCCTGGCAGGAGGAAGGGATCAGATCTCCAGAGACACTAGTAAATGTGCTGACTGGCACCTGTCATGATGGAACTTTTCCTTAAAAAGGCTTTGATTACCAGCAGCTCCCCTGTCTCTAAGTTTCAGAACTGCTCTGTGCCTGTGGCTCAACCTTAGCTGATTTTGCTGCTCAGTGTTTTGGCATGTACTTTTTTTGTACCTGGCTAGTCCCGATATGTTCACTGCCTAGGGAGTGAGTTGCCCTGTCCTAAGGAAAGGTTGTCAAGCTTCCTGGTGTGTCTGCTGTAAGTGCTGCAAGCTCCTCTTGCATGTACAAGGGCAGGGTGGCAACTGTTCTGACTTGGTGACCTGTCAAGCCCAGCTGCCTCCATAACCTGCATTGCTTTGCTGAAGTGTAACCCAAATAACTCCCGCTGCTCTCTTTGTAGCGGAGAGAACGTGGAGGATGCATTCCTGGAGGCTGCCAAGAAAATCTACCAGAACATCCAAGACGGGAGCCTGGATCTGAACGCTGCAGAGTCGGGTGTACAGCACAAACCCTCAGCTCCGCAGGGGGGGCGACTAACCAGTGAACCCCAGCCCCAGAGAGAAGGCTGTGGCTGCTAGTGACCTCTGTTCCACGGCTCCATTTCTGACCCTTCACCTCTGTCTGGTGGAAGTGGTGCTTTTGACCACTTCCCTGTCTTCTGTACATCTTATTGGGTTTAATTAAAACTCTTGAGACAAGTTTAACACAGTACTAAACTGCTAAACAACTTTAGATGTAATCAGGTTATCAAAGGCAAGTAGAGTAATAAAACCTCTCCTGCATGGTAAATCTAGAAGTTTTTTTTTTCCTTGATTGTCCTTGTGATAGTGTCACAGATACATAATTTAAACTGAGCACTGATGCTGGACTCATGATTTTACACTTTCGCAGGGCTTTGTCTTGTATGGTTTAATTTTATGGTTCTTTGGCCTTTCTTCCCCACCTCTAACTGTTTAGAGCTGTCCATAGTAAAGGATGAGTTTTTGCTGTGAAATGACTTCCAACAGTAGCAAGGGGCTCTGTAACAATGTGCTTTTGTTGAAAGGATTCCCTGTGGTGTGTGTTGGGGTCGGGGGGGCTGGCACAGGAGTGTACAACTTGCACAGGAAAACAACCCATTCCTTCTTGTGCTCACAGCTTTACGTCATTTTTTTTGCCACTTTTATCCTTTATGTTTGTCAAAAGTTAAATATGTATAAAATTTGAAGGAACTGAGCTAACAGTTAAATACATCCTGTGTATATGATTTTAATGAAGAAAATGATGACTGGCATATTAGAGCAGTATATAAGAAGATCCCGGTTTGTACAGTCTGACTTGTCTGTGCCCACCGGGAGTGTAAACTTGCACAGGAAAACAACCCATTCCTTCTTGTGCTCACAGCTTTACGTCATTTTTTTGCCACTTTTATCCTTTATGTTTGTCAAAAGTTAAATATGTATAAAATTTGAAGGAACTGAGCTAACAGTTAAATACATCCTGTGTATATGATTTTAATGAAGAAAATGATGACTGGCATATTAGAGCAGTATATAAGAAGATCCCGGTTTGTACAGTCTGACTTGTCTGTGCCCACCTTGCCCTGTCCGTGCAGCCATTGGTGCGGCTGCTGCTCACGTAGGCTTAGCTCCTTGGTGTGGACATTGTGCTGGGGAGCTCCAGTCCTGATGCAGAAATAATTTAACACTAGTGGGATCTGTCTCTCATCTTTGCACTGTGGTATTCAAGGCCATTTTATTAACCCTGTTCTGTGCAATCAGCAGTGTGCTAACCTGCTTCTCTCTTCTGTAAGCGTTTTGCATTATTGGGCTTCATCACTCGCCGTGCATCATATACAAAGGCTGGTTCCCTTGCACATCTTATGCTTTTATACCTTCAACTTTTTGAGTGGTCAGAGGCTGAACTGGACAGTTGGAACAAGGTGTGTGCTCTCTGGGGATTTTTAACTACTCTTGTATTTTTTTAACAGTCCTGTGTGAGGGTTTCTTTTAAGACTTGGTCTTTTTCATCAAGACTTTGAGAACATCCTTCATGGGGTGACACAGATTTCCAGTGGTGACATGTGCATGTGTAGATGTTGCTGAGCTCCATGTGGGGTTTGCTGTGCTGGCAGGCTGGAGCCTGTGGCTCTGGACTTGGAAAAACATCATGTATGGCTTAAAAATGGCAGGGGGCAAGGGCTTAAGGATTGTCAACTATCTGGCTTTAATCTTGCTGCAGTACTGAAAATACAAAGTAGTCTTAAAATCCCTTTCTAGACACTAAAACTATACAATGTTCAGACTTGTAAGTAAACAGTGGTACCAGAGTATTGTACAGTCAATGTTAAATAAAAGCCAAAACTGGAATGTGCAGACAATAGGAGTGGGGTAATTTGTGCACTGTCCCTTTGTTTTGTCTGGTTAGTCCTTTTTTTAACTAATAAGTAGATGGGTATGTTCAAGATCTACAGCTCATGCATCCTGCTCAAACCGAGGTTGCACCACAAGGGGTTTGCCTAGGGACCACGACCTGCTGCTGACATGAAGTAGATATTCTCATGACTACAGCTTGCTGAGGTGCAATACCTGTACTCCCAGAGTAAGTTACAGTAGGTCTTATTGTTTCTGTCACAGAAAGGATCTGTTTGGACTGCTGTACTCCTCATTTGATGTAACAATGCTATTAATCTAAATATTTGTAAATAAAGTACCTGTATCTAGATAAACTGCAGTGGCTTGTGGTATTTGCTCTGACCCTCTCTGCTTCTGGTGTGGCTGCTGAGGGGGCTTGTTCCTCAGAGCTGTTTCACATCCACTGCAGCAGCTGCCTTGAAAAGCTGCTTCTGCAGCTAGGCCTGTGGTGCTTGGGAAAATCACCCCATGACACTGGTGGAAGAGGAATGTGAGCACTACCCCAGGCTACATGTTCAACCTTGACAGTGGACCTTAAGTGGTAAAAACTCCACAGGCTGTTCACAAGAGGAGTCTGGGAGGCTCTTTTAGAGCACTAAACTTCCTTGAGATACCAAAATGGTCAGAGCAGTGTTTGCTACTCACTACCAACCAGTGACATGGGCTATAGCTGCTCAGTGACACTTGTTGCATAGCAAAGGAGCTGAATGTGGCAACGTCTTTGCTCTGCCTTGAGGCCTTTACAAAGTGTTTTTTCCACTGCTGGTTTAGAGCAGGTTGCAAACCCCTCAGAGAGGGGCAAGGCAGCGGGATGTTTATAAACTGTAGCCAGTTAAAAGTTTCACTTTCTGCAAATGAGAGGCACAGGGTCAGAGTGCTGCTGTCCTGATCCACAGCCCAGGGTTCTGGAGAACAACTTAAAAAAAAACACTAAACCAAACAACTGTGGATAAAACCAAACATCAGTAACTTAAGTTTATTTTAAGGAAGTACTCAAAAATAATTGTGCTGAAAACATCCATGCATTTGACAACAGGTAAATGAACAACTCTTCCCTGTTACAAGTTTTAAGTGAAAGTGGAAACTGACAAATAACACTTAAATAGAAACATGTAAAATAATTTAAAAAAAAACCACAACAACCCTTATATACACAAAGCTGTTATTTAGTCTTACAAAAATGTCACAGTACAGAGCAGGCCCTGCTGCCAGCTCTTTGCTAGTGGTGGTAAATACCCTTTTAGAAAAGGCTTGTAAAATTGTGAGGTAGAAGCCTTCAAAGGTGGTAACTGATGGTAGAAATACACATCTAGGAGCAAAAGCAGCATCAAGGTCTGGGACACTAACCACAGGAATGTTTTTCACTGGAAATGGACAACACGGCCCAGAACCCAACCCTGCCCCTGGGCTACCACCACCTCCTGCCCACACAACTCAACCTGCACGACCTTTTGAGGCTCAGTCCTGTCACCTCTGGGCTTCACAGAGAAACTCCTCCCGAGCAGGACTGCGGCACCACGAGAACGCCTGCCTGCCCGCGGGGGAAGCGTGCGAGGCCTGGCAGGGGAGCCTAGGAAAAGCAGCAGAAGTTTGGAGTAATAGATTAACATCTTCAATTACCAGAGACATTCATCTTTGTGGTTTTTCTTAGAGGAAAATCTGGATTTTAAAAAATAAAAAAGTTTTAAAACCACACAGAACCCTTTTCAAACAAGGTAGCTACTGCTGGAGTAGCCACAGTATGATCACCTCACCTCCAGAAGGCCCCTGCTGTGCCACTGAGATGGTGAGCATGTGGCTCTGAGAGGCTACCACTGAGCTAGGAACTACTGAAATCATAAAACCAGAATTCCTGTAGTAGAATATTACCTGGGTTTTTGTTAAATTCAGAGCATCGTGGAATGACAGCAGGCTTGAGCTTTGGGTTAGAAACAGTGAATCTGAAGAAGAGCTGCTGACAAGGTCATCCAGGGCATCCACTTGTCTCTTCAGGCTGTGCAGGGTGCCTTCTGTCTGCTGCTTTCTTCTGAGCAATACTTCCACTTGCTTGGACAAGCTCTGCTGGAGCTGGGCCTAAACACAGCAGGAGTTTCATTTACATCCAGCTAGTGTCAATTTCAAGACTGTATTTAAGAAATCTGATGACCTTAAAGTCAAGCCATAAGGGAAGTGATGTTGAAGAGTCTCAAACCCTAAGCAGATGGCAGAGGGTTTGGGAATTATTTTTAAATAGTTCACCTCCTCCCAGGCAGAAATCAGCTCAATTTTATGGCCTTAATCATATAATGAACTGTTTGAAGAGAGCAACAGGTATGTGCTGACTAGACTTGGCCAGCACCTGCACTTAAAGTGACCATGGCTGCTCCTGAACATTCATGACACTGCTAATATACCTCAGGATGATGTAAATGAGGGAGCCTTGCTGGAATACTTTAAAATCTAATTAACTATTAAAATTAGCAGTTGTGAAGCTTTCTTCTACTGTCCCCACCCAAAGACACTGTAGGTAGTCATTCTGTGCAGAGCTGACATGCCAGAGCTGGAGAAGGTTCCCCGTGCTCCTGGGCTGTGTTGGATGTATTGTTACATTATTTTTAGAAGGGACCCCAGGGACAGGTGAGTGGGGCTGGGACAGGTGAGTGGGGCAGGGACAGACGTGCCACCTTCAGCCAGTCTTCGTGGTGCTGCAGTTTCTCCTGCAGAGCCTCCCTGCGCCACTGCTCATCCTGAGGGAACAAAAGCACCGTCAGGAGGTGTCACAGCTACAGGTGCCAGCACCACCACGAGCAGCAGCCATGGTCAGAAAAGACTTACCATTAAAAAGACTTTAGAAAAATCCAACTTGTCTTCCAATGAGAGGAGGCTCTTGGCAGAGCCACACTGCAGCCCAGCCTCTGCTTCAGACAGTGCTTCCATATCTTCCAACGGTTCCAGAGATGTGCTGGGACATTTGAACCCCATCCGGATTTCATCTTCAACCTCCAGTTTAAGCAATGTTGCTGCGTTCTCTATTTCCCTTTGTCTCTTTTCCAGGTCTTGTTGAGTTTTAACCTGCACCATAGAACAATCTCACCACTTTGCTGTCACAAGTGCACCATCTAATCCAGAGGGATATTCCTGTATAACTGACCAAGGCTTATTTCTGAAATGCTTCCATTTTGACTATTGCAACCAGAAGTCACAAAACCTCTGATCAGATGCAGCCCTAATTCTGACATTAATTTTCCCCTTCAATGCTAGCAGAAGCAACTGAAGTTACCAAGAGATAATGTGTATGTTAAACTTGCTCATACTCTGGTTCTGCGGAGTCTTTCTTGAACACTTTCTAGCTGCTAACAACATTCTTCTCTGAAGGACTCTACTTTTAAAGGACTTTGAGACAATTTATGAAGGATGCATTAAAGGACTAGGAGTCAGAAAACATGGAATCACCTTTTCATTTAAAGTGAGTATCAAAAGAAGAAAACACCGGCCCATTAGCACTAACAAGTTGAGTAGCTTTGAACAAAAACATTTAGTGATTTCCATGAATTATGATTCTAGTTATGCCAAACCTTAACATACACAGGAGCCAGAGCCCTCACTCCTGACTGAGCACTGCTTGAGCTGAGCTGACAGCAAATGTTACGGTGCATTTGCTACGTGTCTTGTTAACGAACAGCCAGGACTAGCCCTCTCAACCCACTCCCAAAGATGATGGTCTTTTTTCTGGGCATCACTTCACTGGGCAAGGGTTTGGTCCATCTGAACTGACCTCAGCAGTGCCTGTACTTCTCCCTAGGTGTTGGGAAGGCCCAGCTGTGCCTCCCTGCCCCAGGAGGGAATCCTGCCCTGGAG